AGTTATAATGTTAGTCATTGACAGTTATAATGATAATCAATGACAGTTATAAAGATAGTCAATGATAGTTATAATTATAGTCAACAACAGTTATAAAGATAGTCAATGATAGTTATAATTATAGTCAACAACAGTTATAATGATAGTCAATGACAGTTATAATGTTAGTCAGTGACAGTTATAATGTTAGTCAATGATAGTTATAATGTTAGTCAATGACAGTTATAATGTTAGTCAATGATAGTTATAATGTTAGTCAATGACAGTTATAATGTTAGTCAGTGACAGTTATAATGTTAGTCAATGATAGTTATAATGATAATCAATGACAGTTATAAAGATAGTCAATGATAGTTATAATTATAGTCAACAACAGTTATAATGATAGTCAATGACAGTTATAATGTTAGTCAGTGGCAGTTATAATGATAGTCAATGACAGTTATAATGTTAGTCAATGATAGTTATAATGTTAGTCAATGACAGTTATAATGTTAGTCAATGATAGTTATAATGTTAGTCAATGACAGTTATAATGTTAGTCAGTGACAGTTATAATGTTAGTCAATGACAGTTATAATGATAATCAATGACAGTTATAAAGATAGTCAATGATAGTTATAATTATAGTCAACGACAGTTATAATGATAGTCAACGACAGTTTTAATGATAGTCAACGACAGTTGTAATGATAGTCAATGGCAGTTATAATGTTACTCAATGATAGTTATAATAATAGTCAATGACAGTTATAATAATAGTCAATGACAGTTATAATGTCAGTCAGTGACAGTTATAATGTTAGTCGGTGACAGTATAATGTCAGTCAGTGACAGTTATAATGTTAGTCAATGACAGTTATAATAATAGTCAACGACAGTTATAATAATAGTCAATGACAGTTGTAATAATAGTCAATGACAGTTTTAATGATAGTCAATGACAGGTATACTGATAGTCAATAAGAGTTATATTGTTAGTCCACGACAGTTATAATGAAAGAATGTTATTTGCAGTGTGGTGTTTGAAATTAAATAAAGATATGATCTTCGCACTTTGCTGGACAATTTAAGCAACTGTCTTATGAACCTGAAAAATTCACGTGACTCAACGGGATTCGAACCCATGACGTCTGCGATGACAGTTATAATGTTAGTCAACGACAGTTATAATGTTAGTCAACGACAGTTATAATGTTAGTCAACGACAGTTATAATGTTAGTCAACGACAGTTATGTTAGTCAATGACGGTTATAATGATAGTCAACGACAGTTATAATGTTAGTCAATGACAGTTATAATGATAGTCAACGACAGTTATAATGTTAGTCAACGACAGTTATAATGTTAGTCAACGACAGTTATAATGTTAGTCAACGACAGTTATAATGATAGTCAATGACAGTTATAATGTTAGTCAACGACAGTTATAATAATAGTCAATGACAGTTGTAATGTTAGTCAATGACAATTATAATGTTTGTCAACGAGAGTTATAATGTTAGTCAACGACAGTTATAATGTTAGTCAACGACAGTTGTAATGATAGTCAACGACAGTTATAATGATAGTCAATGACAGTTATAATGATAGTCAACGACAGTTATAATGATAGTCTATGACAGTTATAATGTTAGTCAACGACAGTTATAATGTTAGTCAATGATAGTTATAGTGTTAGTCAATGATAGTTATAATGAAAGTCAATTATTGTTGTAATGATAGTCTATGACAGTTCTAATAATAGTTAATGATAGTTATATTGATAGTCAATGATAGTTATAGTGATAGTCAGTGATAGTTATAATGAAAGTCAATTATTGTTGTAATGATAGTCTATGACAGCTCTAATGATAGTTAATGATAGTTATATTGATAGTCAATGATAGTTATAGTGATAGTCAATGATAGTTCTAATCATAGTCAATTATAGTTATAATGATAGTTAATGACAGTTCTAATGATAATCAATGACAGTTATAAAGTAAATGGTTTGAATCTGGGAGTATCTTTACATGTTTTTGGATGTAGATCGTCCAAGTTAGTAGAGTCGTAATAAGGACTGTTGGTGTTCTTTTAACTGACGTTTCGACAACCTTGGTAGTCGTCTTCAGAGTCAAAAAATGATTAAGATGACTACTGCTAAGGCAAAATTATATCGCATTTCCTAGGTTATAACAAGAGTTGACTGTATCAAGATAGTAAAAGTTCATCTTTAGTATGAACTTATTTGACATACCAGCTATTTTTTTGGGTCCATTACTTGTGAAAATTGGTCAGCAAAGCTCACAATAGTATCGTTAAGTATTCTTAAGTGGTGTTTTTGCAACGTTGAACAAATATATTTTCTCTTGTGTACAGTTATCAAAAATTCTTTCATATTTGGATAAAGTCATTTTGTTTTAGGTTTGTATTCAACTCAAATCCCATGCAATCACGGAATCGGCGCTCGACTGACAGCGATACTTCAATGCCGGTGCATGCCGGGATAGGCCGGAGACCGCATAGTGTTAACCATGCTCTCTTACCAAACTCACCTTTACCGCAATTCTACTTGGGTTATCTTCTTTATTTAAGTAAATTGTACAAGATCAAGTCATACTTTCAGGTAAGGTGAATCTGGGCGTCATATAGTTTTATGGATGTTATTACATAGGTATATTCAACTGCCTGCTTTGGTTGTTGTTACTACGTAGGTATTGCAACTAAACTTGATGAAACAGAGACTTTGTCGTGGTGACAAACTTAAAGATGGATTTCAAAATAGCAAATACCATGGTGAATGGTGATAATAACAATGTAATAGTTCTTAAAAGAACTGTTTTAACCAGAACACTAACCCAACAATTCAAAGGAACCGTTATTTACAGCTAGAAAGAGACACTATGCATTTCGGCAGACTACTCGTCAGGTGTCAACGTCTGCTAAATGAGAACCTCCAAACCATGCTATATTTATAACGTTACAAAAGGTCAATGTCATCCCTACTTTTAGAGATGACACTTAAAACAAAGACAGATTAAACACGTAATTCTTTTGACGGCAAAGGACAGGATTAGTCAATTTAATTAATACCGACTCCATGACGCGTAGCTGGAATAACGAGCGACATTTTAATAATTTTAAAGTTTTCATCAGAATAAGCATTGGCAGCGAGTGTTGCTTAAAGATGTTTTCAATCGCTGAATCACATAGACTCGGATTTTCCTTTACACCACGTTTTGGTAGTTGTCGTAAAGGAACGTTTTTATTCCTGACAGAAGCTGGTACATGCTGTTTTATTCTTTCACTCAACCTTTGAGAAGTCCTACCTACATAGCGAGCATCACACTCACATTTAAACTCGTAGACTACATTGCTTGATATTTGAGCAGGGAGAGACTCTTTGGGAGTGGGTGAAAGAATAGTTCTTTTTGATAATATAAAGACCACATTGCATGCAAAAAACAAACTCTCAGTGATATTTTTAGTTTCCTTCTCGATGTCATTAGAGGCCTTACCCATCCAGGGAAGTTTAAGGAAAACAGGGCACTTGGCCGGTCCGAAAAGTTTATTCCGTTCATTGTTAGTGGATAAGAAAAGTTTGTCTAGCAACTTTTTTTGATATCCATTTAACACAAAAATATTCTTCAGTGAGATAAGATCACTATCAATAAACTCTTTTGAGGACAATCTATGCGTTCGCTTTATCAAACACTTCACTAAAGAAATCTTTTCTCTATGCGAAGAGAAAGAGTCAAAGCGTGTGTACAAACCAGTGAAAGTTGCATAGAGAAAAGATTTCTTTAGTGAAGTGTTTGATAAAGCGAACGCAAAGATTGTCCTCAAAAGAGTTTATTGATAGTGATCTTATCTCACTGAAGAATATTTTTGTGTTAAATGGATATCAAAAAAAGTTGCTAGACAAACTTTTCTTATCCACTAACAATGAACGGAATAAACTTTTCGGACCGGCCAAGTGCCCTGTTTTCCTTAAACTTCCCTGGATGGGCAAGGCCTCTAATGACATCGAGAAGGAAACTAAAAATATCACTGAGAGTTTGTTTTTTGCATGCAATGCGGTCTTTATATTCTCAAAAAGAACGATTCTTCCACCCACTCCCAAAGAGTCTCTCCCTGCTCAAATATCAAGCAATGTAGTCTACGAGTTTAAATGTGAGTGTAATGCTGGCTATGTAGGTAGGACTTCTCAAAGGTTGAGTGAAAGAATAAAACAGCATGTACTAGCTTCTGTCAGGAATAAACCTGTTCCTTTACGACAACTACCAAAACGTGGGTGTAAAAGTGAAAATCCGATTCTATGTGATTCAGCGATTGGAAAACATCTTTTAAGCAACACTCGCTGTGCCAATGCTTATTCTGATGAAAACTTTAAAATTATTAAAAAATGTCGCTCGTTATTCCAGCTACGCGTCATGGAGTCGGTATTAATTAAATTGACTAATCCTGTCCTTTGCCGTCAAAAGAATTACGTGTTTAATCTGTCTTTGTTTTAAGTGTCATCTCTAAAAGTAGGGATGACATTGACCTTTTGTAACATTATAAATATAGCATGATTTGGAGGTTCTCATTTAGCAGACTTTGACACCTGATGAGTAGTCTGCCGAAATGCATAGTGTCTCCTTCTAGCTGTAAATAACGATTCCTTTGAATTGTTGGGTTAGTGTTCTGGTTAAAACAGTTCTTTTAAGAACTATTACATTGTTATTATCACCATTTACCATGGTATTTGCTATTTTTAAATCCATCTTTAACTAAACTTGAGTGTTTCCTACCTAGGTGTTGCTACCATCTAGGTATTGCCTACCTAGGCTGCTGCCATCAAGATATTGCTTACCTAGGTTGCCTACCTAAGTTGCCTACCTAGGTTGCCTACCTAAGTTGCCTACTTAAGTTGGCTATATAGGCTGCCTACCTAGGTAGCTACCATCTAGGTATTGCCTAACTAGGTTGCTGCCATCAAGATATTGCCTACCTAGGTTGCCTACCTAGGTTGCTTACCTAGGTTGCCTACCTAAGTTGCCTACCTAGGTTGCCTACCTAAGTTGCCCTTCCTAGGTTGCCTACCTAAGCTGGCTACCTAAGTTGCCTACCTAGGTTGCCTACCTAAGTTGCCTACCTAAGTTGCCTACCTAGGTTGCCTACCTAAGTTGCTTACCTAGGTTGGCTACCATCTAGGTATTGCCTACGTACCTAGGTTGCCTATCTAGGTTGCTACCAAAGATTGTTACTACCTAAGTATTGCAACTCACCTGCTTGAATTTTGAATAGTGACCTGGGATATATCGGGACATCCATCCATGGGACAGCCATGTTGTTAGGTTAGTTCCTCAAACCAATGGCCTAGAACCCAATCTACTTGATGCATGACTCTCGCGAAATTCTAAAGTTACAAGTGGTGCAAGCCGCCATTATGAAAGGTCGAAAAACTCACGATATTTAGGACTAAAATCTGCTTCTTCCACGTTGATATACAGTTGCAGTGTTGATAGTCTAGGTTTTCTTTTTAAATGTTTAATAGGACTGGTGTTTTAAACTTTCTTATTTTAATTTGGATTGTGAGTTTTGCTTTTTTCCGCTTTCAAGATGGCCTTCTTGTCTGTCCTTGACCATTGACGCTGTAGTTAGACAACTAGGGGAATGGGTTCTAAATCATTTTCTTAAATTCAATGCGCCAAGTATGAACTCAGCCTAAATTCTTTTCCTTGCATGGTAACATGCATTTTTTCCACCAACATGGTAGACAGTGAAAACACTCTTTGGTTTGTATTGTTTTCGTCAAATTATTTTAAAATATTTTGAATGAGTTCGGATAGGGACGGCATCAAGATATAGCTACCAGCTTTGTTGCTTGGTTTCATAATTTTTATCATGTTGTAAATTTTCGTTGCAGTCACGTGCATTCCTTACTGTGTCAATAATTACACATCAACCGGATGCTCTAATCAATACAGCGGTTTATGTTCCCCCGTTTGTAAACGGGTTGTGTGCCCTGATTGTCCATCGAGATGATGTGGAAAGAATACGGTTATACCAAAAAACATAGAAAGAAATTCCACCTCCTGATTTTCGGTATTTTGGACAATAATTGCAGGCTTAGATTGTTTTGGAAAACGTCTTACGTCGTCGATAGCGATTTGATGGAATAAAATACAGTCGTCATCTGTATGGTGAAGTGCTTTTTTATTAAACGACTTACACTCAAAGAAACTGGTAGAAAAAATGGGAAATTAACAATCATTTCAACCTGTGCAAGATTACGCTGCATCATTTTAAAGAATGAAATGGCTAATGAAATGTATATTTTGCTGTTTTGCAAAAAAAAAAGGGATGCAAATGCAGTGATCCATTGTAGCCAAAATTTTAGGACTTACAAATGTATAAAACAACCTATTTTAGTTATGTAAAAAAATGAAGCATGCATACAAATTATAAATTTAATTTACATTACTAGGCAAAGCTCTCGTCAATGAAATGTATTTCCTTCAAGATTTAATAGAACCAAAATTAATTAGGTTTCGTTCATTGTCTTTTGTGTGAAAATGTATGAACTATAGCCTTTTTTGTGAAAATGCATGAATTATTGTCTTTGGTGTGAAAATGCTTCAATTATTGTCTTTTTTTAAATACGTGAGTTAATTGTCTTTTGTGTGAAAATGTGTGAATTATAGTCTTTTCGTGAAAAACTGTCAAAATTTGTAAAAATGCATGAATTATAGTCTTTGTGTGAAAATTTGTAAAAAGTGTGAAAATGCATAAATTATAGCTTTTGCGTGAAAAGTTTGAAAATTTTTGAAAATGCATGAATAATAGTCTTTGTGTCAAACTTTGTAAAAATGTATGAAAATGCGTGAATTATAGTCATTTTGTGAAAAGGAGTAAAAATGTGTGAAAATGCAAAAATTATACTCTTTGCATGTAAAAATGTTAAAATTTTTGAAAATTCATGAATTATAGTCTTTTTGTGAAAAAGTATGAAAATTTCAGAAAATGCATGGATTTTAGTCTATGTGTGAAAACTAAAGAAAATTTGTAAAAATGCTTGAATTATAGTCTTTGTGTGAAAAAATGTGAAAATTTGTGAAAATACATGAATTTTTGTCTTTGTGCGAAAAAGTTTAAAAATTTGTGAAAGTGCATGAATTATTGTCTTTGTGTGAAAATTTGTAAAAATGTGTGAAAAATGCGTGAATTATAGTCTTTGTGTGAAAATTTGTAAAAATTTGTAAAAATGCATGAATTATAGTTTTTGTAAGAAAAAATGTCAAAATTTGTGAAAATGCATGAATAATAGTCTTGGTTTGAAAATTTGTAAAAAATGTGAAAATGCATAAATTATAGTCTTTGTGTGAAAAAAATTAAAAATTTGTGGAAGTGCATGATTCTAAAATATTCTCGCTCTTTTATCTTGATCCATATCATTTAACCTTTTATTTATTTTATCTTTCGCATAAATAACATACTTCTTCAACATTTCCCGTGATAAAGGATCAACTCTAGTGGTTGGACTTGATTCGTGAAAAATATAAATAAAGAAAAGCTGAATTATAAAGGTAAATCCTACATCATTACGAAAAAAGTGTTTGAATGCAATGATGATTGATAAGGCTGGAAAATATCTGGCAACGCAATTGAGTAACTTTCCTCTCCTTTCCTCCATTACAGATCATCACAGACTACGTATGTCTGCAGTATGATATTATTTACTATCGATTCAATATGAAACATACCATTTCAATATCTTCATTGTTATTGTTTTTGTCGCCTTTTTGCTCTCAGCTTGGATAACATTTTACGTGACTTTCAAAGGAAAACTTTGCGAGAAGCTGGACCTGCAAAAGTACATTTATTAATTATTGCGAATTGTGCATGCCCTAAATCATGAAATGTTCACAATAAAGTCTACACTATTACAAAGAGCAATCATCCACCTCCATCCACACTTTCCTAACTTCGTGATCAAAGATTTCCACATGCATTGTAAGCTGCTACATAATTGTAAACTCCACAAAGCCAATTAAAATTTTCAAGTTCATACTTGTTGAGAATGTATAAAAATTTACTGCTTAAGTTTTTCAAGAACTTAAAATCGCTTACGTTTATGTGGTGCGTACAATCCAACGAAACATGGCTCCAAATTAATTAAGACTAATTTCCAGTCCAATAAAATACTATACGTTAATTAAGCATTTAAAACTTTATACAATATTTTATACTTCAACCTATTAAAACTTACACAGTTTGAAAAATATACCACAACAGTTAATTAGTTTAAAAAGAATATGCTATAAGAATTAATATATTTAAAAAATATACTACAGCAATTAATAAATGTAAAATGCACCTGCATTGGATCAAGAAGATCTCACAAAATGTCAAATCTGGGAAAAATGAGTCTCACAAATCGAGCTAAAACACACCAAAGCACTTCATTAAAACAAAAGTAGCATTTTGCCAAGTTCTTGTCGGATACATGATCGTAGTTAGTGTGACATCTTCGTTTTCTGAAAAATTCATACATGGGTCGTAACATAATGTATGAGCTATGTTGTTTTATGTGGGTATGCACGAATGGAATGGTATAATACATGAGGATGTATTGTGTTATGTGGGTATTCACGGATGGAATGGCATGAAATATGAGGATAAGCTGTATTATGTAAGTATGTACGGGTGGAATGGTATAATATATATCAGGATATAGTGTGTTATGTGAACTTTTAGTGGTATTATGTTGTGATAGTAATGTGTTAGGACACAGGTGATATTTGCTGTATACAATAAGCTAGAAACAAAATACCACATCTCTGTAGAGAAGTAACAACACCAGCCTTTTAGAGATTGAAAAACTTTGCTCTTCCATGGCTTCATGAATGCTCATTCCATCATCATCATTCATCTGAGAAATGTAAAAAGACATCGCCCATATAATCCCAACTAACTAGACAAACAGCTAAAAATTTTAATTAAGAACTGTTTTCTTGAAGACATGATACTATAAATCAATAATGTTGTTCGTCCATCGCAAGCGATGATGACCTTGACAAGTTAACTCAAGTACTAGAAGACTGTGTACGGTAAGTTCTGAGGTGGCTAATAAGCCAAATCTTGGCACGGAAGGTTCTCGAACACGAAAGGCAAACCAGAGATGCATCTGATGTTGAAGCCCTGGCTGCTCTTGATTTCCGCAGCTCACGTTTCTGTTTGGCTTCCACAGTCCGCCTTTCTTCTGATGCTTGACAGCCCTTGAAGATGAGATCGCGCCAGGTTGATCGGTTCCCTGCAAGTTTGTCCCATATTGCGGTGTTGATGTTAAAGGACTTCAGTGAGGTCTTTAATGTGTCCTTGAACCGCTTCTTCTGGCCTCCGACTGATCTTTTGCCGTTGGAGAGCTCACCATAAAGCAGTTGCTTAGGTATCCGCTCATCTGTGAGCAGTTGAATCTATGTCACATGCAATTCCATTTGAAGAGTGTTAAATGCAATGCGGTGTTTAAAATTAAATGTAGATATGATCTTCGCACTTTGCTGGACAATTTAAGCAATTGTCTCAAGAACCTGAAAAATTCAGGTGACTCAATGGGATTCGAACCCATGACTTCTGCGATCCCGATACAGTGCTCTAACATTCAATTTCATTTCATTGGCTGGTATTAAGAACTCTCTGATTTAACAAAAACAAATTGCTCTTAAAAAAATTGTCGTCTATTTAAAAAGCCTAATGACTTTTGTGCTACCACGATATTACATAATTATGAACTATATAATTTATGAACTATGTTTGTAGAGCAGGAGAACTTGATGTAATGATCGCTAAATGTAACTTTCAAATTGAAAAATTTGCAAAATCTTTTTTTGAAGCGTGTGCCATAAACGTTTGATTTCCATGGAAAAGCAGACACGCTATTTAAACACACGTTCCCAATACACGTTTACATCGTTTTAAGTTCGTGATTTGTGCAGACAAAATCAACGAAAGTAACGCTATGCAAGATATACAAAATTTACTTAGCTTTTTGGGGGAGATTTTACCCGCTGAATACAGCGCAAGTCTTCAAGTAAAGTTTTATCCACTGTATATACCATCTGCTTTCTGAAAGCTCAATCACACTCATTGAGTGCGACCCAGAAGTCTCGCTCCCACTAATCAATGCCAAACTTTCATGCGGAGTGGAGTGAAAACGTCGTCTTCGAATAGTCATGAGATGATTTTAAAGACTCACTCAATGACCATGTCTTTGCAATCTATAAAAATACTGGTGTACTTGTCTTAAAGCTTTACCAAACTATAAGCTATAAGGTCTACGCTTCAAAACATATCACTAATTCAAATATATCGATTCAATTTCTGATAGACAATTTTAGGTAAAGTTTTTATAATGCTTACATCGTCGATATACATAGTATTTTCGATGACGCATGTATGACGCATCATTTTCTCTATATCAATTCACTGGAGGGCAAATAGCGCACACTTGTCATAAAAACGTGCCATAAAATGTTACAACCTCAAAAATTACAGATATTGAGAGCTTCGTAGGTAAAATGCATGAATAGCACACAGCGGGGTGGTACTTTACATGATCAGTATTTATGATTCGTTCCGAAATGCAATGAACTGCAATCGTTAAACTATTTATATTAAGTCTGCACTTAATGCTCTTTGAGAAATTATCTAAATTACTGATCAATCCACTGTAACTAAAGAAGCCTGAACGAAGTAAAATTTCGAAAGCTATTTATTATTTATGTTGTGCTCGTGGAGCGATGTTTCAAAATAAAACGGACAACTACTTCACTGCTATATATTTTCAATCACTTAAATCGTCATTCTACTAAGTATGACCGATGTTGTCTACGCATTACGATGGTTGGAGTACATTTGTAAACACTCATGCCTCTTTGCTGTTATTGGAAATAGTAAAAATATTTGCTAAATCGATGTAAATGTTGACGACGTTCAACACATTAGAGAAGAGTTTTGGACTGGAAGAAGCTCCTCTGATAGCTAAGCATGCCAAGCTGTATGCTCGATATGCTTTAAGTGATTGGTTGTATCAATTCTATATCGGATCTGGATGATATATTTGTCAAGTCCAATCGTTCCAAGAAAATACAAACTAAAAATGCCACACGACTTCCACATTTAGTAATCCGTTTTGTCATTTTTTAGCCGATCACACTGCTCTAAGAAAAATGATCAAATCTTAAGGAATCATTTTATTCATTTCATCAAAACTTATTACAATAGTTGGAATCTTTCCACATGTTCCCAAATACACGCTTTGTGGCTAAATGTTTTTTCCTATTGCGTTTCTGCGTACAAAACTCTCAAAGTCCTAACGTTCGAAATTGTTTACATTTTTGATTATGTCGTAAGTACACTTGCACACTCTTTGAAGCTGTCGTAATTAAAGAGGCGAATTTGCATCAGCTCAACATCTTTCAAGGAAATAAATAAGAAGCAATGCAGGTTTCGCGTTTTTCAAT